TTATTTTGTTGAATTGATTTTCCATGCCTTTTCCTTTCTCCTTCCCTTCTGAAACACACATTATTAAAATGTTTGTGTGCTTAAGGTTGTTGTCTGCTAGTTCTCTTGGATTTTCTTCATTTTTTTAAAATTCTTTTTTCTTTTTTTTTTGTCTGCCTGCGTTATTTCAGATAGACTATCTTCAAAATCAGAAATTCTTTCTTCTGCTTGTTCTAGCCTGCTGCTGAAGCTCTTGGTTGTGTTTTTTTATTTCATTGAGTGAATCATTCAGTTCCATGAGTTCTGCTGTATTCTTTTTTAAGGTATTAATCTCTTTGTAAATTTCTTCCTTTATATCCTGGATATTTTTTCTCACTTTGTTATGTTGTCTGAGTCTTCTTATATCTCAATGAGTTTCCTTAAGATTGTTGCTCAGAATTCCTTTTCAGTCATTTCAAGGACTTCCTGCTCTATAGGGTCTGGTATTTGAGAATTCCTGTATTCTTTAGGTGGTGTCATATTATCTTGGGTTTTTGTATTTGTGGTACTTCTACATTGATGTCTGATCATCTGGTAGAGCAGTTGCTTTTTCTATTACTTTGGAGTGGGCTTTGAGGAGAGAGACACCTTCTTCTTTTTCTGGTCTTTGCTGGTGACCCTGCTTTGTGCCAATGCAATTGAGTGTCTGGATGGGCCATCTGTACAGTGGCTGTGGCTACTGCTGTGGTGTCGAGCTGCTTTTGTGGCAGCTGTGGCTGTGGCAGTGGTTGTGGTGGGCCACCAGCACAGAAGTGGTGTTTTTAGCATGCTCTCCCTCAGCTCCTGCCTAGGACCCCAGGCATGCTCTCTTGCCTGCTTCAGGACAGAAGGGGCTTAGGTTTTGTGCTTTGTTTGTTTGTAGCAAGACTTTCTTGATGAAGCATTGTGTTGACTTATCTTCTGGCATAAATTCCTTAATCTGTGACACTGCCTCAGACTGTAGTCTTGTCATTGCAGCTTTACTACCTATATAAAACTTAAGCTTCAAATCACATTTCTTGACAATGTAGTGCTTTATAATTTTATACCATTTAGAACTAGTTGTGTTTGTCGGTAAGTAAGCTGAGAAAAAGAATTCTTCCTACTTGTATATGGCTCTTTAGTCTGAATTTAAAGTACTATTTTATAAGAAGTCTGCAGATTATTAATGTCATGTGTGAAATACTGAACAATCAGCTTCTGTTGGCTTTTTTTACTCTGTCTTTAAAAGAATTCTTTTGTCTTTGAATTCTTTTTTTAAGTAAAATAACAAGTAAGCTTTAATGGTTCCTTTGTTTTGTTAGCCATGCATCTTTGCAGAAAACACAGGTGTGGTTTTAACACTTCATAGCAAGCAATAATGACTATAAAACTCAATATATGAGGAATCATAATTCCAGGTAATGTATA